TAAGTCTCTTAAGTGGATGTAAGGTCTGATAGTTGAGTTCTTCCATAATGTCGTCCTGAGGCCTACTCATCTCAAGATGGGGCACAAGCCAATTATCGATCCTTGAACGACCTCATCGGCGCCATGGTTACTCAGCTCGTTTACGAACCATAGACACGCCAATCCCTTGCGGGCTGTATGAAAAGGTCTTTGTGCATTTGGCGAGCATTTCGGTATGCCAAGTAATGCTGTTGAGTACTTGTAATCAGGACTCCAATCGTCGTCAATGTGCCCAACCTCCAGCAGACCCTCGGAAGAGTAGATGAAGAGGCTTCAACACTTGACTGCTGCAAATGGAGGGTAAAATAAAAGCGAATGATAATTTGCAAAAACTGCATTTCATGCTATTGTTCGAATTTGCTCCAAATTAAATAAAAACAAGGAACTAAGAGGAAATAAGAAAGTCTGATTTTCCAGCCCACACATCCGAACCCACACAATTTTGACATTTTGAAAAATGACCCATCACCCGAGGCTTGGCTACCGTCGCTTCTTCTACCTTCTCTTTCAGCTCTCGCGTCATCAAATGGCGTCCACATACTCACTCTCTCCGTCTCGCCGTCATCAGTGGTACAGTGGGACTCGAACCGTGTGCGTATGTTGAGCTGCACAACCGGTTCATTTGGCATTCCGGCATTTCGACAAGACATCTTGCGCTGCTCCCTCGACTCGGAAGGTCTCTACATGGTTGTTTATGCACAACAGTTGGTGTGTACACACTCACAAGCAACGGCGGTATGCTGCATCTTTTGCTGTCAATTCTCGTGGCATCAACTGACGCCAGACACTCACCTCATACATTTTTATTAGTTCCCTTTTAATGACTGTGGCCATTAGCAACAGTTGTGTTTGGCAGGCGTGAAGAGATTGACTCGTGTCACTCTGTACCATTTCAGTTGGGTTTTTCTAGTCAACCGATAGCAATGCTGTGCCCCAAAAAGTGAATGGGACTCGCTCTTCGGACAGTGAAGCCGACCTCGGCAGCAATCTCATTGGTCCGTCCTCTTCATCTCTCAGCCCTCCCGGAGGGATTCGAACCGTGAATGGACATAACCACCGGCCGACAGGACCAATCAGACCTGCCGGTACCAACTGACCGGCGGCAGGGGGCGGGGCAATAGGCACTTGTTCGGAAGGAGAGTTGAGTGATCCCACAAACTCGCATGAGCACACCTCAGGCTGCCCATGAAGTTCACTTGGCTCTCTCTTCCAAAAACTTATCTCGTTCACTCAACTCCACCGCCAGACGTTTAGAACTCACATTTTTCAATAAAGTGGGATTTGCAATTTAGCAAATGTACATTTATTTTTCGTATTTTAAGTGGAGTTTCGAAGCTACCACAAAAGAGCGACTTTGGAGGATCCAAGTTTCTAGTCAAGAGTTGCTGATTCCTTTTAAGTCAATTCATTTGTTAGTTATTGAATTCGTTGAAGGAAAGTTCAACTTCAAACTGTTTTAATCTAAAACTCCCACTCTAAAAGTGGGAATTGTCTTGCTAGTCTCGCCTGGCTTGTGAACCTATGGCGACCTTAATGAGTGCGTAACCGGATTGGCAGTGCTGTCGTTTGACGCGCAGAAACTGATGTCGAAAACATTTTTGGAACCAAGGAGAAAATGAAGCGGAGTAAAAAGTACGAGTAGTAAAGAAATATTAGCCATAATTTTCGGGAGAAGGGCAAGAAAAAGAAGAAGGAGATAAAGAGGAAGAAAGAGATGAAGGAGAAGGAAGAAAAAAAGAAAGAGAAAAAGGAGAAGGAGAAGAAGTAAAGGAAGGAGGTAAAGAGGAAGAAAGAGAAAAGAAAGAGATGAAGGAGAAGGAAGAGAAGAAGAAATAGAAAAGGAAGAAGAGAGATAGAAAGTTGAAGAAGAAGAAAAATGAAAAAAGTAGAAGAAGGAGGTAAAGGGAGAAAAGAGAAAAAAAGAGAAGAATGAGATGAAGGAGAAGGAAGGGAAGAAGGAATATGAAAAAAAGAAGAGAGAGAAATAAATAAGAAGAATAAAAAGGAGAAGAAGTAGAAAAAGGATGTAAAAGTGAAAAAGAGAAGAATGAGGTGAATAATAAGAAGAAAATAAAGAAGAAATAGAAAAATAAGAAGATAGAGAGAAAGTAGAAAAAAAAGAAAAATGGAAAAAAGTAGGAGGTAAAGAGGAAGGGAAAAAGGAATATGAAGGAAAGAAGAGAAAGAAAGGAGAAGAAAAAGGAGAAGAAGGAGTAAATGTTAAAAAGATTAACAAAATAAGAGAATAATGAGGTGAAGAAGAAGAAAGGAAAGAAGAAATAGAAACGGGAAAAGAAGCACGAGAAGGAGAAGAAGAAGTAAAAGAAGTAGTTAAAGAGGAAGAAAGAGAAAAGAATAAGCTGAATGAGAAGGAAAAGAAGAAGAAATAGAAAAGAAAGAAGAGAGAGAGTAGAAGAAGAAGAAAAATGAGAAAAAGTAGGAGGTAAAGGGGAAGTAATAGAAGAAAGAGAAGAATGAGATAAACGAGAAAGAAGGGAAGAAGGAATATGAAAGAAAGAAGAGGGAGAAATAAGAAGAAGAAAAAGGAGAAGTAGAAAAGGGATGTAAAGGTGAAAAAGAGGAAAAAAAGGAGAATGAGATGAAGGAGAAGGAGGGAAAACAGATAGAGAAAAAGAAGGAGGAAAAGGGGAATAAAGAGAAGAGGTTGAAGGTCAAGCAGAAGAATAATAATACTCGCCTTACAAAATTTGTTATTTTCATACAGCCGGTCTTTTTGGTGCAATGTTGGCCTACCTTTCAATGCTGTTGGAATGTCTTTCATTTCATGTAAAGAGGCAAGTGTAACGGATTTGTAATTTGCCTCTTCCGCAAGCCCATGTTGGATTGACTTCGATCTTTGACTGTATCTTTATGCGAATATGTTCATGGTTCACTGCCCCTAAACCCCGAATAGTTGCGGTTTATGTGATAGAGAAGGTCATAGCCGGCTGCAATCCAGCCTACTTTTGATCCCTTCCTTTGTCCAGTCAAAGATTGGTTCGGATATCTTTTGTGTTGCCTGCATGCTTGCTGACGAAGCGTGAAATGGATGCTGCATCCCTCCTTGAAATCACTCATTATTTTGATCCCACTTTGTCGGTGCATGTGACTACGTTCATTTGCACATGGGTTGTGTGCATGTCATGCTTGTGGGACGTGTGGGGTGTGAAGGTGGAGACCAGATTGCGGCCTAATCAAG